GGGGGGAGGGATGATTGGGTCCGGAAATGAGGCAATCCCACACAGGAAACAGCGGTAGACACCGATGGGTCCTGGATTATGCTTCCCAGGGATAAGAGCGGGCAGAATTCACCTTCCACAAGGTAAATTTTTGTCCTTGGCGCTGCGACGCGGTCCTCCGCGTCTTGTCTCGATCTTAGTAACCGCCACCCCCAACCCCTAGCGAATCTCGCCGTTTTTACTCGGCGACAATTCGATTATTGAGAATTAATTTTAAATCGGAGATAATTCCGTGACGCGCTCAATCAGATTTGCGGAATCGTTTTGTGGTGCAATTAGCGGCCCCGACCATCAGGCGTTCCTCGAGGGGAGCCGTTTTGCGGTGACTTTTTATTCCCGACTTCATCTGCAGAGACACCTTGAGGGCTGATTATTGGAAGTTTAAAGCAGTGCTCTCATTCAAGGTCCGTCAAAAGTTCTGGGGTTCGGAGCTTTTTCGTTCCGATTTCTACCACTCCATGACCGTCAAAAGTTCCGGGATCCCTTTTAGATTTTTTCATAAGTTCCGAGAAAGTTCCGGATAATGCAAAAGAGCCGGAGCATTTCGGGAATTTCAAAAGTTCCGGGAAAAATTCAGGAAAACCTCAAAAATTCTGACAAAATCTCTCATTTCCTGAGAGTATAGTAATTTCTAATTTTGTCGTCTTTTAGCGATACAAGAGATAGCACCTTTCTTTAATCGAGTTAAGAGAGAAACCAAACACGCAATTTGGCCTGGAACGACGCAACTTAGAGAGAAATGATGGCGAGGACTTGAGCTGAAAAGGAGAAGCCCTCGGCGTGGCAGTCGGCATGTAACACATATTAGCGCCTACAAGTCTGCACGAATACTTCACGCATTTTATCAAACACAGTGCGGTCACTGCAGTCAGCGTGAAACGGATAGCGCCTACAAGAATGCATGAATACTTCACGCATTGCGCCAAAGACAGTGCGGTCAGCGTGAAACACTTAGCGCCTACAAGACTGTCGGAATACTTCACGCATTGCGCCAAACACAGTGCAGTCTGCGCGGCGCGGCGGCGTGTTCAAAATCATTAAACTACATTTATGTTTGTTCCTCCATAATTTTTTCGTTCATTTCTTATGAATGGAAGGCCTTGTCCACACAGAGATAGGTTTACGGAACCTAACTTTCGCGCAAAGTTCCGTGAACTTTTGCTAGTAGTGTTAACAGGGCTTCCACAAAAAATATGTCCAACACGAGTAAACGAGTCTTATGCACCTCTCCCCCGCTGGCACGTTTACTTGATGGTTTTTATTGGTATTTCAAAACGAATGAGAAGGGGCGGCAAAATACAGGCGGCCCATGGGCGGCAAGAAGGTAAATCCGGCCCTGCTTCAAACTAACTTCTTTTCAACTGCTATAACCTCGGTTTGCTTTAAGTAACATTTTTGACTCAAAAATGACTATTCTTTCTCCAAATCATTTTTGAGCAGATCTTTATACACTCTGGTATCGATTGCTCAATGTGAGTTTTGTCAGACTAAGGCCCCGTTTCTCTCGGGCGGTCACACACTAGATTAGGTTCAACTTGACAATTTTGATCCTGATATAATTTTCAATTTAAGTCTATGATTAATGATAATTAACTCATAGAGAAATAATGATATTCATAGGCACTTCCAGATTTCTTCGGGGAAGCAGTGCTTTCCTGCCACGTTTATGCTGAGAAACGCATTCAATGAAGAATTGACGGTGCTAAAATTAAACCCTCAAAAGACTTCTAGGATCATCGTGCCTTAATCAGCACCTCTCGTAAAAAGTCTCATATCAATGAAGGAACTAAATACGGAAACGCTTGTTTCAATTTCAGTCTCTCAAAATGTTAAAATTCGAATTTGACACTTCGTTTTGTTCGAAGGGATATTACTAGATATCTCTGCCTCCATCCAGTTTTTTGCGAATGTGAGTAATCTAACTGAGAGGACAAAGAGAAATCATACGAAAATCTACGGACGGAAAAATTATTGCTCATACTTGAAAAAGCTTAGTTTTGAAAATTGCAAACCCTCTGCTTTAGCACAAACTCGGCTCCTATGATGTTAACAATAATTTTATTGATTAAAATTCAATGTATTGTTTCATGAAGGTAGCTAAATTTCGTTTTTCAGTCATTCAAATTAATCTCTGTTTTCAGGGTTCAGGCTATCCGGGAAACGCTGTCTCAGACTGTTCCAGCTACGAGTCACCATGGAATCCACCCCACCATTATTTTGGAACCAAATTTTCCGGTATGATTTTCAGCTTGAATTTTTTGTTAATGTATTATTTCTTGAAAAAAAAACACCAAGCCTCTTAATTTGAGCGGATTTTCTTTTGATTTAAACTTAAATCTGATTGAATTAAGAGTATTTTCTCTTGTCAATGTTTCCAAGAGTCTGGACTCTAGATCCAATGTGTTTTTTTCCAGTGTTTCTGATGGACCCCGCCCCAGTGCCCCCCTACGGTGGACCGTTTTTTAACTTTTCTCGAAACGCCAAGATGATTAGCGCTAAAAAGTTGCGTTTTGCCGTAAAAATAACGCTCAATTTTTTCAGAATTTTTGGATGCTGTCCTGAGCCCGCCGCGACGCCATCTTTGTTGCCAAATTTTCGATTTTTTCGAAAAATTGCCAGGATTCTGTTTAAAGCCCGGCTATCGCATGGTGATACTCTTAAATTGTGATCCTCTCTGGCTACTGGCTGTGGCGTGTGACTATAACTCAAAAACTTGGAAACGACGAGCTCATCCAGTGATTAATTACCAACTGCTAATACCTGGCTGATTTAATTTTTAATCGGGCGTGGTTTTTTGTTACTGTTGGAAGAAGTACCTGGTAGACAAACCTTTCAATGGACAGCTTATAAAAAAATCAGAATCCTACCACTGAAATCCGGAAGTATAATAAGCGCTCAGTGAGTCAAGACCACTAGAAAATGCAGAGGTCCATTTGAAATTCATTCATCTCTCAAGGAACGACCAGACAAATTTTCTCCGT